TCGCGAAGGACCTTAACGAATGAGGGACTGCTTCGACCACCCAAAGAGGATCACTTATAGTACTTTGGTATCGCGAAGGACCTTAACGAATGAGGGACTGCTTCGACCACCCAAAGAGGATCGCTTATAGTACTTTGGTATCGTGAAGGACCTTAACGAATGAGGGACTGCTTCGACCACCCAAAGAAGATCGCTTATAGTACTTTGGTATCGCGAAGGACCTTAACGAATGAGGGACTGCTTCGACCACCTAGAGAGGATCGCTTATAGTACTCTGGTATTGCGAAGGAATTTATTAGATGAGGGACTGCTTCGACCACCCAGAGAATATCAGGTTATCTTATTCATCCTATTAACCCATTCATGGTACTTTTCACTCCTCTACCGGACAAATTTCGGGGTCTTCTTGTATCTAATTGACTTTCACCTTAAAATGAACGTCATACAACAATTCATTTGCTCAGGTTTAAGGCAATTAGATAGGGGCATCTGTCATACCCCAAATTTGTCCTACTTCGGTATTTAATGATAATTTTACTGTTTTGTGACTTCTAGCCATAACCCTCTAAAGTTTCGTTTATAAAGACCATGTGTGTACACATTGTGGTTATAATCTCTAGCCCTTTATGTGGAATCCTTGTGGGAGGAGCGCGCCTCCAGCCCCTTACACCCAAACTCATGTGTGTCCTCGTTCTCACGATCAGACAGACACGATATGGTCAATACCATAAAGTACATGATTAGATCTATCTCGCCACACAATTGTTGGTTTTCAAGAAATTTAAACTCTATTTCCACTTGATTATAAACTTCTCTAAAGCTTGTGTAAGCCTCACTACAAGTTGCTTGTTATGATATGCAAGTTGTTCAAAGATGCTTCAAATGATACTTCTAGACACGGTCGATTTAGCCTTAAGCTGTGTTCGAATAGATTGCAGGTGTCAAGCTATATTTGGATTCTAAATTGGTTTGTGAAAAACTTAGATTTAGCTTGCAAATTTCCAAGTCATAATTGGATTACAATTTGGATGCAATTAATCTAGAATATATTCTGATTTGTTTCAAGACATAATCAATTGGTTTCAAGTAGCATTGAACCATATTTCATGATTCGTACTAAAGTAGCGCGGTAGACATATCCAAAGTTAGATCAATCTCATTTCAAGAAGTTCATAATATACGTAGCATATAAGTGATCAAGTTGTTAAGTGGTTTCGAGTTGTGTTTAATGCCTTTCAATTCGCGTTTTAAGGCCATGATTGTAGTACACCCTCCACACAATGCCAAAATTATTGCAAACTAGGACGATCTTGAGGTTGGTTGTAGCATGGTTAGTTTTGAGATATTTCAGGATAACTTAGTTTATTGCAAAGAATACCGAAGTTATTTATGGCCAAAGGAGGGTCACTGTCAAGTATCAATTCTCACAACCGTTTTTTTTTAGAGCCGTAAGAAGAAATAAGCTGGAGCAATGATAAGTTATATATCATGGAATTGTATACAAGATTACAAAGAACATAGAATTAAGATTGTGATGTATAAATGAAACAGTGGCAACATCATGTTGTGGTCCTTATTTACAACCAAAATTATAATTCTCATTATGAAAAGCGGTATCTATTGGCATAAAGTTCATCACCATTACAAATTCAAACAAGACTTTATGCATGGATTGGGTTTCAAGAGGAAATATAGCCTTAGTTCTTGTTACATAAGTTTACAAAGGCCATTTACTAATTTATGGCGGTAATGTGGCTATTCAAGACTTTGACTTCAGTACAGCAGCTTTATGACCTTTTGGCTTCTACTGTACACCACTTGGAGTTGGATTAAAAATCTTGAGATTGCTTGCCAAGCTCTGCAAGAAATCCATTGTCACATTATGAACATGAAAGAATGATTAGCACAAGTGAATTAAACGGTAATGTGCAAAACAAGGTTTGACAAGTGACTTAAAATATAGTAGTGGCATCATCGTGAAAAAACAGTTTGACATTCCAAGTGGTACTATTCTAACAGAGATTATACCTTCAAATAAAATGTTAACTAATGCTCAGGCAATGCGTGTTCCATCATGTTTCATAGATCACCATCTTCTTGGCCGAATATGTCAGGTCCATGAATTTATATTCGCCATTCTCGCACAGTCCATGATTGGCTCCAAAATACATGAAAAAGAATGAATACATATGGTCAGAAAAAGTACACAGATAGAAAAACACCAACTTTGGTTGAAGCATTGAAGGATAGACATGTGAAATATATTGCATGTGGTTCAAATTACTCTGCCGCCATATGCCTTCATAAATGGGTATCTGGTGCGGAGCAGTCTCAGTGCTCATCTTGTAGACAAGCATTCAGCTTCACACGAAAGCGGCACAATTGTTATAATTGTGGACTTGTACACTGCTATTCATGTAGTTCAAAGAAAGCATTAAGAGCGGCACTGTCTCCTAACCCTGATAAACCCTACCGTGTGTGTGATTCTTGTTACGCCATATTGAGCAAGGTTGCAGAAGCTAGCAATCATAATCGGAGGAACACTTTGCCGCGTCTCTCAGGTGAAAACAAGGATAGGTTAAACAAGTCTGAGCTTAGATTGTCTAAAGCCGTTGTTCCTTCAAATATGGATTTGATAAAGTAGCTAGATAATAAGGTAGCCAAACAAGGAAAGAAAGCTGATACATTCTCACTATACTCACAAACCCCTTTGCTACAGCTGAGAGACGTCGTCTTCTCCACTGCTGCTGATCTGAGACGAACCACACCAAAACCGGTGATTGCGGCGTCGAGAGTAAGTTCTAGATCCACATCCCCTTTCTCTAGAAGATCAAGCCCTCCTCGTTCAGCTACACCTATTCCAACAATGTCGGGAATTTCGTTCTCCAAAAATACTACTGATAGTTTGAAGAAAACAAACGAACTTTTAAATCAAGAAGTGCAGAAGTTACGTTCTCAGGTTGAGATCTTGAAACAAAGATGTAAACTGCAAGAATTAGAGCTTCAAAGGTCAGCAAAAAAAAGACTCAAGAAGCTATGGCACTTGCTAATGAGGAGTCTACTAAAAGAAAAGCCGCAAAAGAAGTTATGAAGTCACTTACATCACAGATCAAAGATCTAGCTGAGAAGCTTCCTCTTGAAGTTTATGATGCTATGAACATTAGACAAGCGTACCTACCGAATGGTCTTGAGTCAAACGGAAATCACTATCCGGATTCAAATGGGGAGCAGCATGCGGATGTAGAATCAATCATAAGTGGCTCTAGTATAGCCTCCATAAGACTTGAGTCCTCTCTGTTCAGAACTGCAGGTGATTTTCCAGGAGCCAATGGAACTAACCTCCACCAGCAAATCCGGGGTAGCGTTACCTCTAACAGGACTGGTAACTATCCAGATGTTAAATTGCCGAATGGAAACAGCGTGATTCAGTCAAGCAGTAGTAGCTTGTCAGATATTGTTGAAGGTAGGGATTCTGGGAATTTCCGTAATGACGAGAGTGGTTTGAAATTGACAGATGCTGCACTGGCTACTAATAGTAATAATCAAGTTGATGCAGAATGGATTGAACAGTATGAACCCGATGTGTATATAACACTAGTGGCCATGCACGATGGAACACGAGATCTGAAGCGAGTGCGCTTTAGCTGGAGGAGATTTGGAGAGAACCAGCTGAAAGCTTAGAATTGCCAGATGTTAACAACTCAATGAAAGGGCAAGGACCTGTTAAGTTGGCTGACAATGTTCTCAATGATCAGACTCCTATAGTTCCCAAAAGAAACTTGAGAAAAAACAGAACCACTCTAGCAGCTGACATGGAAAATAAATCATCTCAGCATCTCAATGGTGTCCCAGAAATTGAGCAACCAAAGGCAATGAACACGAGAACCACTCGTACCAACTCAAACAAATTTAGTAAGAAGAGCGAGCCCCACATTCCTTGTCGGGCTTCAAAACGATTGGCTGGATCTGAAAGCAAAAGTGAGGGTAGGCCAGATCATGCACCATTAACTGGAGAGTCACAAAATAAAAGAAGAAAAACTCCTTTAGTCATACCTGCTGTAGACGACGAACTGGAAACACTTGAAGTGGATGACGAGAAATCAGAACCTCAACTATCCTTTGCATTCCATTACTCTTGGTCTGACCCATGTTTAGATTATGCAATCAATACCCTCACTGGTGTGTTACCGCCAGTTGATAATTCTGTTGATAATAGGACGTCTACTGTACATAAAACTGATATTCAAAATCAAAACAATTCAGTTGATAATGGACCCACTACTGTACAAGAAACTGATACTAAAAAACATTGGTTGACAACATTACCAGAGGAAGCAAGGAAAGTCAAAGCAATGTGCTTGACAAGGTCACAAGAGACAGTGATAAAAGTGCTTCAGTGCAGTCAAATAAATCCAAGAGAATAAAAGAGGACTCACAAACCCAAAATATGTAGTAAGAACATCTTTGCACACTCATGGTCCATGATGTTTGAGCTATACTTTTCATCACTAATCCTTTGGCAATGACACACATTAATTAGAGGGATCACGCATCATTCAATTGATGCCACAGACATACAACTGATACCAGTCTTGAAACCTTCTTCAAGCATCACTACGAAAAGGCAACGTATTGTGTGATCAGTTATTGGAAACACCCATTGAATGACAATAACCAAATTCCTCTTCAGCTTGCTCCACAGTTCTTCACAAAAACCTGCAGTACCCTGCACAGCATACAACAACATCATAATTCACATACACACATCAACAAATTCATGTAGTGAGAAATCATTTCGCAAATCATACACTTAGTCACCCACCGTTTTCAAACCATCCACAACCTGATTAATGCTTTCAATAACTTTCAAACTTCTTGTTCCTCCATCATTTCTCATTCTCTTATACCCTTTTACAAAATTTCTTCAAAAGTTTTCCTTTTAGTACTCTTTTCAAGAACCACAGTAACGGTGTTTCTTGAATTCCATTCTTGGACTCTTCATGGCTCTCACACAGTTAAACAACTCCACTTGCTCAAAAACTCAACTCCACTCATCATCACATCTCTCATTTCTCTCTAGCACTAGAACTAGGACTCTTCCTAGGCACTATCACTCTACTTTTGCTCCACTTCATAGAGCTCAGCATGCTAGAATTTCTTGTTCTGTTGTGCCAAATCAAGTGCAGGTTCCAGCTGCACAAACACAGGATCCCAAGGGTAAGCCTAATTGCTATGGAGTCTTCTGCCTTACCTATGATCTGAAGGCTGAAGAGGAAACAAAATCGTGGAAGAAGTTGATTAACATGGCTGTCTCAGGTGTTGCTGGAATGATTTCCAATCATCTACTTTTCAAGCTTGCATCTGGTGAAGTTTTCGGTCCAGATCAACCTATTGCACTGAAATTGTTAGGATCAGAAAGATCAATCCAAGCTCTTGAAGGTGTGACGTTGGAATTGGAGGACTCTTTGTTTCCTTTGCTGAGGGAGGTTGTTATCAGCATTGATCCTTATGAGGTCTTCCAAGATGCAGAATGGGCTTTGCTAATAGGCACAAAGCCTCGAGGACCTGGAGTGGAGCGTGCAGCTTTGCTAGACATTTAAGGGCAGCAATGAGAGGTTGCTCATACCTTAAACACAGCTCATTGATAAGATTATTACTTATGAAGCACGAATCAACGATGACATGATTGCGTCTGAGGAGCGGTTTGAGGCACGATCGCCTTATCCTCATCGACAAGTGCTAATCTCTCAAATGTCTTCCAAAGTCCAAGGTCTTATCCTCGAGCCAAGTTTGAAGAGTACACATGAAAGAGTATGGAAACATTTTATTAGTATGAGCAAAATAGAAATAACTAGCATACCAGAAAGTATTATGAAATATAAGCCACATCAGCACAGTAAAGATCCCAAGAATTCACAGTAAAAAAATCAAGGTAAAAATTGTATCTTCTCGCAGTGAAAATTGTGGGGTAAAAAACGGATAATCCAAAAAGCTACAATTAGTAAAATCGTACCTTTTCCATCCCCAACTCAGAAAGCAACCCAGGATTCACCCAAAAATGCACACGATTTGCAAGAAGAAAACCCTAGCTCTCCCCCTATATATGTGATACTGTTCGTTCAAGAGAAAGGAGAGACAAGGAAAAACCTAGCCGCATCACTCAAATCCAGAAACAGGGCACAAGCAAAGAAGAAAAAGGTAAAGAAATGTACAGCACGAACCAGTTACCTCAAGATTCGCCATTGGAGTAGCTCGAAGCTGGTGAGTTCCCTTTTCATTTGATTTTCGCTCGTCCTCATTTGAGCACCGTGAATTATCCGTTGGAATATGTTTTGGTTAGGTTCGGATTTGTGATTATGAGTGCGTTTTGTTAGATGCGGGTTGGGATTAGGGATTTAGAAATTGATTTAGGGTTAAGATTCAGAAAGAAGAAGGTTGATAGTGAATCGAGAGAGGATGAGGAGATGGAGTGTTTTTCGTTTGAAAACAGAAGAGGGAGAAAGAGTGAAGCGGGTGAGTATTCTGGTGGAGGGAGTTCATTTGTCCTGATTGGTTTTAATTCTTTTTTTTCTTTTCTTATTAGTTTTGTTTTAAAAAAATCTTGGAGATCCCAACGGTTGCACGTGTATGTTTGTTAGACCACTAGCCGACATTTGATAGGCAGAATACATTTATTGTTGTTTCTTTATTCCTCTGTGTGAGAAACGAAACATAGTGTTTCTATCAAGAAGGTATGTGAATGTTAGGAATCTTGGCTGATTTTTAGTACCGCCGCGGGACAGTTTTGGATAATGCCATTGGAATTATTTTATTACTGATTATTTGGTTTAACTAATTTTAGCAGAATTTAATAGGGTCCTATCTTGAAAATTAATTTTATATAGTTTAAATTATTATTGATATTATTAATGATATTATTGAAGTATATTATTCATGATATTGAAGAATATTTCCATAATTATTTGGACAAGTATTCACTATCTAACAAACACTATTTCATAATTAATGGGATGAAAAATATTGTCGTTGGGATCTAGCATTCCAATGATATCCCGACTAATTGGTTGTGAGGCCGACGTCTTGCTTATCAAATAATCGTCATTCCTCTTAAACATACAACCTCTCTAACCTCGTTCCTCACCTTCATACGGTCGAGTCTAAACCCTAGTATGTCTCTAAACCATACGTCGAATCCAAACTATTTTCTTAATTAAACTACGAAAGAATTGAGTTCTTGGAGTCTCGCACTCCTTGAATTTTTTTTGAGTAACCACTCTTGGGGCGTACGCTTTAGGTTGTGGTTCGCTCAACCTTTCGTTTATAAAACGCGTGCCCTAACTATTTGGACAAATATCGTCATTGTCCATTCAAATACAATTTCATAATTAATTGAATGAAAAAGGTGTTGTGGGGATCTAGCAATGCAATGATATCCCGATTAATCGATTACGAGACTGACGTCTCGTTTATCAAGTAATCGTCATTCTCCCTTAAAAATATCCAACTCTCGTCTCGCGCCCTCGTGCGATTGAACTTTTCTCAAACATATTTCGAATTTAGTTGAATGAAAAGGTGTGGTTGGGATTTAACATTCCAATAATACCCCGATTAATTGATTGCGAGGTTGACGTCTCGTTTATCGAATAGTCGTCATTCTCCATCAAATATCTTAACCAAACTCCTCTTCCTCGCCCCGTGCGATCGAACCCTTAAACCTATTCAAATATATCCTCTAACAAAGCATCCAATGCGATAAACCTAACTCCTCGCCCTCGTGCGATTTCCAACCAAAACACCTTTTGTCAAGAACATTGTTTAGTCCCTTCTTCCGCGCATAATGAACTCGTGCTTCAGCCTCCCCTAGCGAGCAGACAAGCCAACATTTAGCAGTTAGAATGCGACCTAAACACTCGTTCGTTTACCAACCCTTTTTACCGTGGTTAGCCGAACTACGGCTGCTTTGATTCTTCATTCTCTTCTGAATGTAAGATACGTAGGCACAAGATGGCGATGATCTTGGCGAGCACAATCCCCTCTTTTTCCCGTAGTCCCACGAACTACGAATGCTCTGATTTTCCACTTCTTATAAGTGAAGATACGTAGGCACAAGGGCCCTAATCCTTGGCGAGCACCCTATCTTAAAACCACCCATTCCCCCCTTTAGGAGAAACCTTAGAAGAAAACAATAAGCGTAGATAACTTTACTCTCGAATCGATCAAGAGGTTCCCGTTGAGTACAACGGACGTAGAGGGTGCTAATACCTTCCCTCTATGTAATCGACTCCCGAACCTAGAATATTGGTTGCGATGACCATGTTCTTATCCCTTTAAAGGTTTTATCGATATTTTCCTATTCCATCCTTGGAATGAATAAAGTTCGGTGGCGACTCTGTTTCGAACAGTATTTTCCGCGGCCATCGCGAGGATCGTATTTTTCGAGGTACGACACATACACATCCTCTTCTCACATTCAACACTTCACAACCCTATGATGATCTTCAATTGATCCTTAAATTAGGAGAAGATTCACATTCAAACATCTAAACCCTTAGGCACTCAAACCACCTCCTGATGACTTTGACAACTTCTCAATCTTGAATGAGACCTCTTGCTAGGCTTCTCTTGAGAAGAATCACACTTGATCCCCTACTATATGAATGATATCATGATATAAAAATGATATAACTATGCAAATTTTAATGCAATGAAACATAAACCAGGTAAGAAAAGGTTGGGCAAATTTTGGGGTGCAACAGCTGCCCCTATTCAAACAGCTTGGACCCGACTGGGTGAAGAGCGAACGGCCTTGAAACAATCGAGGTAAAAGACGATTGAATACCAGGAAACCAGGAAATTTTCCAGCCACAGAAATACACAGCAAAAACTGCTTGGGGAACAACATCCGTTGCGCTAAACCCAGTTGTTACGACAACAACTGATCATTTATCTGATAAAACTTGGGATTTCAACATTAACCCCCTATGTAACGCCACAGGCATCAAATTAACTTTGCAAGAAACGACTACGTCCATAACTGGACTAAACTTCGTCAACAAGAGGGGCAACTCCATCACCATGGGTACAATTCCGTCCATAACTGGAATAACGATCTCTGTCAGTCACAGGTAACAACTCCACTGGGGACAAATCCGTCAATCACGGATAACAATTCCGTCATCACGGACAACAATCACTGTCACCACAGGTACGATTCCGTCATCACGAATAACAATCACCGTCAACACGGGTAGCAATTCCGTCAACACGGATAACAATCACCATCAGCACGGGGAAACAACTCCGTCAACACGGATAACAATCACTGTCAACACAGGTAACACTTCTGTCAACACGGACACCAATCACTGTCAACACAGGTAACAAATCCGTCAACACGGATAACAATCTTCGACGATTTCACTGGGACAACTCCGTCAATCACGGGTAACGACTCCGTCAACACGGGCAACAATCACTGTCAACACAAGTACGATCTCTGTCAGCCACAGGTAACCATCACTGTCAACATAGGCGCGATCTCTGTCCATTACAGGTAACAATCTCTGTCAACACAGGCGCAACAAATCACTGTCAACACAGGGAAGCAATTCCGTCAACACGGATAACAATCACTGTCAACACAGGGAAACAATTCCGTCAACACGGATACATTTGAAGAATACTTTGTTGGGGAATACAAGAGACTTAACCAAGCCACTCTTTGGGGAAATCAAAATCATCGGGGAAATCACTAATAACAACTCCGAAAGTTTGAGCCAGGAAATATTTTAATGCTGACATAACAGCAACCTGAAAAGAATCCTGTCGGGGACGAAGAGAAACTTAACCAAGCAACTCTGTTAGGGGATGAACACTATCATCACCTATCTCACGCCGAGAATTTGAATATTTAGAGATCCTTCTGAGCAAGAATCCCACTCCTCTGCAAGGGATAACACCTGAAACCAAAGAGGTAACCAACCTGGCTTATGTTTCAAAATGCGTATGCTCGATAATGGCGTAATGCTCCATACGGCATGGAAATTATATGCGTCTGGGTAGATGCAAATATGATGATATATGCAAAATGCAAAGATGCAAAGAGGCGCTTTAGCAAAATAAATGCTGAAGACAGGATAAATGCTGGGGATAACCCGATATCACAAACATATTCCAAAAAAATAAATGCTGGAACGGTGCAACCAACTCCGCTGGGGATAACCATCCTGCTGGGGAATGGCTCACAAACTTGAAATTACGAACTCTGCTGATGATGTTCATCCTGTCGGAGGAAAAACAAACTGTTGGGGAGAAGAAAAGGCAATCCTGCTCGGGGATACTCCTTTCAAACCACTGATCACCTAGTCATGCTCTGTGGGGATTAACTACCCTGCTGGGGATACTCAGCTGGGAATCGATTCGTGCACTCTGACTGTATTCTGCGAGGACTCTTCTGGGGAGTAAACATGCCCATAACCAATAGGGATAAGTGCCATCTCAAATCTTCTGAGATAAGATGTGACTCCCATCTGCTGAGGAGTGATACCATCACTTTGTCACAGGACTCTGGCTGGGGGAACACGAATTCCTTGACCGTTTG